TTGTCGGTGAGCTCGTAATTTCTCGAGGCGCGTGCGGCGCCAATGCGTGACCTCATCGTGTTCTTGTCTGGCTCCGTGAACTCCGAAATGGGCCTGGGCCGTATCCAACAAGGCCTGCGCCCACAAGTCGTAGTCGAAATCGGGGTGCGGCAGGTCGGCGCACTTGGAAAGCTGGTCGGTGATATTTTTCATGCGCTTGTCGAGCTCTCGGTAGAATCCGAGCCGGTCTTCGCCATGTTGTAGTGCTCGAGCCAGCTGAGTATAGCCCCATCTGGGTCGCAGATGACGGTGGACGAACGTCGGCATCTCGCCGCCGATCGTGAAAAAACAAAGGGAGGTGGTCCCTGGGCTGAGCGTCGGGGATGAGATGAAGCTTACGTCCGCGTTTCCAGGCCACGGTGCACGTCTTTATTCCCTCCAGCAGGGATGATGAGATGAGGCCAATGTCTATTGTGCCCGTTTCCTGTCTAGGTCCGTAGTACGTGGGCCCTGCACTCGGGTAGTATGTGTTCACGCAAGCCATATCCATGGACTCCATGGTGTTATACATCAGATTGCCTGCGATGCCGCTCCGCTTGAGGTGGTAGGCTCCGAAGTGCTGTTCGCCTGGGTCGATTCGGGTCTCCTCCGTCTTCCGTTGGCCGAACCCCGAGTTGGCACCGAAACCTGCGATAAAAGTGCATCGGGCAGGTGCGCTCGCCAGTCTGCTATGGATGTGCTGCATGGTTAGCTCAATGCTGCGCTGCTGTGCTCGCGTGGCCGAGCCCGTCTCACAGAGTGGTGGAGGGTAGCCCGTGGCCGCCAGGATGTCAAACCCGCCTGACTTGATCCGAACGTCGCCTGCCCTACCCTCCAGTCCTCGCGGCGCTGGTGTAATTGAGGTAATACGGTTCCGTCTCAGTCGTCTCCTAGAATTATGCACGTCCCCGCACAATTGGTCACGTAAGAGGAGCGCCGCCATCCAAAATGAATTGCCGTCCGTCTGTTCGGTAAATTCTGAACATGATATTGTCTGTCTGGCCATTCTCTGACTCGTGTGCCGTTGAGAAGGAGTACGTCCACGTCCAACACACTCGCTATCTCCTCTAAGCGTGAGCTCTGGATAAGAAACAAAGGGTTATAGACCGCCGCGCGTGGGAGAAACCGCATGCGTGTGATCCCCTCACGGGACCTTTGTCCACACATCAGATGTCGGGTGAAGGGTCCATGGGACGGCGCGAAGAACGCGGGGCCTTCTGCTCGCTGCCCGCTGCGAAGCCTGAGCCGAGGTGGCAGCTGAGATGTATGTATATATATATATATAAATATATATAGCCACGTGTGCGTTACGCGCGCTTCGGTTAACTATATCCTCATCCGCCCTGATGGCAGACAGGCACAATCCTGGCGTCGGCGTCGACGCGGCCGTCGTCGTCGTGGTCGCGGGCGGGTGCAGGGGAAGGATCGAGAAAAGAGGAGGGGATGGACGGATGCAAATATCGGGAAGAATGGAAGTAGGCAAGCAGGCAAGGCAAAAAGGGAGAAGACGGGAAATGAAGACAGAGATTAATCAACAGATGAAAAGACATTCCTCCTCTTTCCTTGTTCCCCGTTTCTTGAAGTGTTTTCTTCTCCTCATCCTCCTCTTCCTCTTCTGCCTCCTCCTCATTTTCGTCGTCCTCCTCCTCCTTTTCCTCCTCCTCCTCGTCCTCCTCCCCATCCCCCTCCTCATCCTCCCCATCCTCAACCTCGTTCTCCTCACCTGCGCGCTCTGCCTCCGAACTCCACCTCCCCTCCTTGCCCTCTGTTTCCTCATTCGACCGGCGGCGACAATCATGTTCCCGGCAAGTTCTCCAGGAACATGATAGTCGCCGCCAATCGTCCAAAGTGAGGTTGCAAAACCTGCAAGACGGCCCGACGTAATCATTCAGAACCTTGGAAAAGGAGGTGAGGAGGTGGAGGTTGGAAATGAAACGGAGGAGGTGTGAGATAACAAAGCACAAACGGTGGAGCTGGCAAGGCCATGTGGAGGAGGGCGGAAAGAGCATGGGGGGCTTACGATACAGACCAGACTTGGTTTCGGCCCATGGATCGTGGGCCAAAGCCCTGCAAGAAATTCGGTGGGGTGTTGACGGAAGCCTCGAGGGTGCCTCTTGGGGGCTGTTTCCAAGCCTCTGCATTTGACCAATCCGTCTGGGGCGCCCCTGGGGCCGCCTTGGGGGCCCGCCTGGGCCGGCATCCTAATTGTTGTCGTCTCGCTAACCTTCATCATGATTTGCCTCATTGATTGCTTCTGGTTGCCGTTTCCGTGTCCTCTTCCTCCTTCTCCTCCTCCTCCTCCTTCTCCTCCTCCTTCTCTTCCTCTTCCTCCTCCTCATCCTCCTCCTCCTCGTCGGTCTCCTCGTCGGAGCGGTGGCGACAATCGTGTTCCTGGAAGGCCCTTGGGGGACATGAGGGCGTCGGCCGCGTTGGGCATTGCGGTTCCAGGGTTACCAAAATAAGTCTGCAAAGTCCGAAGGACGGCCCGGTGGAAACATTAGCAAGTGTTGCCATGGCGGTTATGCTCGGCAGGGAGATGGAGGAGGCGCCTGGCAACCAAACAAGAGCGGCAGGGGCTGGACAGGCCACAGCAAGCCGCTGCGCTGAAGTGGGGTGTTCGGTGGGAGGGTGCGGACCGTCCTCCTCATCAAATCATCGGCCTCCTTGCCGAGTTGGCGGCGACAATCATGTCCCCGGAAGGCTCTCCGGGAACATGATGGTGTGGGGCCTCGGAGGCTGCTAGGGTACCTCGAAGGAGGCTGCAGAGCCCGCGGGACAGCCAGAATGAGCCATTCGGAGATGTTGTCTTGGTGGTGCGGCTGCGAAGTAAGATGGGGAGCCGTAAGATAACGAAGCAAGAACGGTAGAAGGTGGGTTTAACAGGGCAAGGAAGGAGGGATGCCGAAGGAGGCCTCGCGGGGGCTTCTAGGAGGCCGTTGTCTGGCCTCGTGGGGCCGGTTTGGGAGCCTTCTCGGGCGTCATGGGGGTCGCTTGTGGTCCTCTAAAGAACCCCGTGGCTGCATCTGGGAGCCGTCTTGGGGCCTCCTGGGAGCCTCTTGGGGCGAAAGGCTCGATATTTTGATTCCTCCTCCCCCTGTGGAGACCATCCAGGGGTCGTCTTCGGAGCCTCGCAGGACGTCTCGGGCGCCCCTGGGGTCGTTCAGGAGCTCTGTTAGGCGTTCCGGGTCCTCCTGGGCGCCTCTGGGCTCGTCCTGACATGGTGTTGGAGGCCTCTTGGGCCGTCGCTTGAAGAGTGGGGGAGCCCCAAAACAGTGAAACACCTTGGCGAAATCAATGAATGTTGCCTGTCGGGGCACTCGTCTGGGGCCTCGGGCGGCATCTGGAGCCTGCCCGGGGCCATCCTGGGGGAGTTTCAGGAAGCGGAGACCTCGAAAATTCGGTTCATGCCCTCCGCATGGACATCATGTCGGGGTCGTCTTGAGAGTCTCCAGAGCCGACTTGGGCGCCCCTGAGAGCGTCATGGAGCCCTGCTAGGCCGTCCCGGGGCCGTCTCGGTGAGTGCCGGGCGCGTCAATGATTGTTGCCTGTCGGGGCACTCGTCTGGGGCTACGCGACCACTGAAGCTCACACGGGGCCGTCCTGGCGCAGCCTGGAAGCCTTCGGAGGCCGTTCAGAAAGCATCTTCGGTGCTCTCGAGGTGTACTAGACCCAGACTGGTAGACAGTCATACCAAGTTGTGGGCCCTCTGTGCGACCACAAGGCCACTTTGGGAACCACGAGGGCGCCCCTGGAGCCCCTGCCTGATAAAAACCCCATTCAATGGATGATTTGAAAATTTGCCGGTCCAACGGGCCAGAGGCGTGCTAAGACCTCCGGTGACTGGCTAACAATATTTCTAGTTCGCGCACGCGGGGCGAAAAATCCACCGGGCGAAAAGTACACCGGGCAAGTCCTGGGAGGGTCCCAGCAGGGTCGGGCCAGAGATGCTGGACCGGGCAAATTTTCGACACCTCTCACGAGGATCGTGGTCTCCGAGGCGGGAGCCGCAGTCGACTACCCCCATCCTGCCCCAAGAGGCCCCCAATCCCAAGAGCCCCCAAGAGGCCCTGGGGGTCCCCAAGACGCCGCCAAGGAGCCCCCCAAGAGGCCCCCAAGAAGCTCTAAAGAGGGCTCCAGGGCCGGCGGATTGAGCGAAGCGATTAATTAGTCATATGGATCGTGAGATCGATTGTGAGATCGATGATGAGATCGATAGTGTAATCGATAGTTGACGATTGTAAGGTCGATCGTGAGACCGAGAGTGAAATCGATTCAATGAGATCGGTAGGGAGATCGATCGCGAGATCGCTCGTGTGATCTCTAATGAGATCGCTTGCGAGATCGATTGTGAGATCGATTGTGAGATCGATGGTGAGATCGATAGAGAGATGGAACATGAGATCGATGCTGAGACCGATCGATCAGAAGATCGACCAGGAACCCGGGAAACTGGGAACCTCGCCGCCCACCGAAATCGGCCCGGGAACCGGGAACGCCGGGAACCCAGAACCGGGAACCCGGGAACCCAGCCTGCCACCAAAATCGGCGTGAAACATTCGCCTTCTCTTTCAATATCCGCTAGGACCCCTTCAGTGCAAGCACTGATTGGGGAATATAAATCAGTCTGTATAGTTATAGCTGTATATACACATATCTCTTCATGTGTGCGTACTACAAAAGAACTGCATTGGGGCATCGGGCCATGTATCTTGGTCCTTGGAGTGTGGCACGCAGGCGAATGGGCAGGAAGGGTAACATATAACAATTAGCGATGTGGTTGTCCGTTGGGTCTCGCGTACCAGGTCTCAACTTTGGTTGCCCTGTCAACCCTCCCGAACTGGCTGTGGTCCGCGCGCCGGTTTCACCAGTCTGTAAAAACGCTGGAGGTCTCAAGGCCACCGAGGCACTCATACGATCAGCAGCTTAGCCAGGGTCGAGCAGGAGACCAAGGCGAAACCCAGGTCTGAAGCCCACCGGGGCGCTCAGATGATCTTCAGCTTCGTCAACACCAGGTAAGAGACGAAGGAGAAACCCGTGAGGGCAGTGGTGAGCGTGAAATACCTGCTGGCGAAGAGGGGGGAACGGGCGAGCGAACGAGACCTCACCGCGTCATATTTCTGTTGTCGGCTTCGCACCAGGACTCCCTCTCGCAGAGTAGTGGGCTTTCTGAAGTGTGCCCATAGGAGAAGGAAGATGCTTGACCTGCTCAACACACGTCAAGCTTGCACGAGCCTGCGGGACAGAACGCTCCTGACCCAAGCATCGGGGCCAAGAAAGATGAGGAAGATGAGGAGGGTGCGGGGGGAGACACGCAACTGTGAACATGAGGGGTCCAGACGGAAACGGGTCCCGAGGCGATTCGCCGTTTTCGGGCCCTCGACCTTCAGAAGATAGCGCAGGATGAAAACATTAGCCCCGGGGAGAGCCCTGAAGTCTGGGGCCCGACTGTCTCGATTGTCTCGATACCTGGGCACCTGCCCCTCCTGCCCAGGACTGCTATTCACCCAGGGCAATGTTGGACGGGGGCCGAAACAGGCCTCCACAAGCCCCGAAGGGCGAGGAGCTGTCAGTCTTGGTTTGTTCCAATGCCTCACGTGTTGGCCATCATGTTTTATCCACGACCCTCCTGTGTTGGGCATGTTGGACAGAGTGCTGCTGCTACCAATTCCTCCTCTCCTCCCGTCCCATCTTTCCCGCCCTGTTCATAGTTCCTCCCCGCTTCCTGAGCACTCCCAACTGCACACTTGTCAAATGTGCTCTCTTGGAGCTCGCAGCTGTTAACAGCGCTGCCAACTGCTCAGTTGTACACCTGTCAACTGCAAAACTGTCGACTGCACAACTGCACATCGCCGCTTTCGTGAGCACGTTAAAGGTCCAGCGGAGGGTGGGGCTCCAAGGACCCCGAACGAGATCTCGCCTCACTGGGTGCGTCCGACTGCGCAACTGTCGCAATGGTCATGAGTTCCTGGGTGGTCCAGCGGAAAGCTGGGTTACGGGGCCCCAAGCAAGACCTGCTGAGAAACCGCACAACTGAAGGCCAGGCACTCGAAATACGCAAAGAGGCCACGGATGGAGGACAGCTCATGTTCAAAATGAGGCTACAGCAGGGAATTTCCTTACATGCTCTGGCCAGGAGTGCAAGCCATGAACAACAGTTACACGGATGGACACTTCCTTGAGCTTGGTGGTCCTACCCCTTAGGAGTTCGTATAACTGTTGGGATAGACGGCCTTCCCTGCTCAAGACATCGATATTGCCTGGATGTCAGGGCCGCTCGTCTATCACGCGTCCCGCTCTGTAAAAGAAGCACTGCTGGGGGGCTGATGGGGACGTGGGACGGAAGAGCAAATCCTCCTCCTCCTGCTGCGCCTCTCATCTGCACCCTCATCCTCCTACTCCTTGTCCGCCTCCCTGCGCTTCCGCTCGCGCCTCCTATTGCTCATCGATCCTGCTCCTCCACCTGCTCTTCCACAATCTCATTTCTCCGCCCCTTCCTCCTCCCTGATCCTCTCGAGCTGCCGCCATTCGCTGAAGTGAGGCGGCCGCCAACGGTCAGAGTGAGGCGGTCATTCAATGTCCTTGGGTGCGTGGCTGAAGTGCGAATCCGTGGTGAGGATGATGTTTGTTGCGTTGTTGTTGTTGTTGTTTGTGTGGTTGCTTGCTTGTTTGTTTGTTTGTTTGTTTGTTTATTTGTTTGTTTGTTTGTTTTTGTTTGTTTGTTTGTTTGTTTGTTTGATTGTTTGTTGTCGTCCCACCCGCGACCCACCCACGATCCACCCCGCGACCGACCCCGCGACCCACCCAACGACCAACCCCGCGACCCAACCCGCGACCCACCCCGCGACCCACCCGCGACAAACCACGCGACCCACCCGTGACGCATCCGCGACGCATCCGCGACACATCCGCGACCCACCTGCGACCCACCTGCGACCCACCCCGCGACCACCCCGCGACCCGCTCGCGACCCACCCGCGACCCACCCGCGACCCACCCGCGAACCACCCCGCGACCCACCCGCGACCAGCCCGCGACCCACCCGCGACCCAACAGCGACCCACCCGCGACCCACCCGCGACACATTTGCGACCCAAAGGCGGCCCCACATGGGTTTAGCGAAAAAAGGAGCGCCTCCGGCGGGCTCGGTCTCTATTTTGTGAAACTTTGGCGTCTGCGGCGGTCTTTTCCAGTCCCGCAAACTGCTGGCGTCCCCGCCGCCCCCTCACTCTTATCCGCATCTGCGGGGTGCCGCATCACAATGAGGGGGCCGAGCGGTCATTCATTGTCCTTGGGTGCGTGGCTGAAGTGTGGGCCCGTGGTGAAGATTCTGTTTGTTGCGTTGTTCATGTGTTTGGTTGTTGGTTTGTTTTGTGTCGTCGTCCCACCCGCGACCGACCCGCGACCCCCCCCGCGACCCCCCCCGCGACCCAACCCGAGACCCACCCGCGACCCACTCCGCGACCCACCCGCGACAAACCACGCGACCCACCCCGCGACCCACACCACGACCCACCCGCGACCCACCCCGCGACCACTCCACGACCCACCCCGCGACCCACCCGCGACCCACCCGCAACGCACCCGCGACCCACCCGCGACCCACCCGCGACCCACCCCACGACCCGCTCGCGACCTACCCATCCGCGACCCAGCAGCGACCCACCCGCGACACATTTGCGACCCACCCGCGACCTACCCACATTGGTTTCACGAAAAAATGGGCGCCTGCGGCGGGCTCATTCTACACTGTGTGAAACGTTGGCGCATGCGGCGGGCTTCTCCACAGCCCCGCAAACTGCCGACGTCCCCACCGCCACCACACTCGTATCCGCATCTGCGGGGTGCTCTATAATAACATTCCCCTTTCTGCCTCGCTCTCTCCCTTCCGTAGAGTGGGCTGCTACCGTGTGCAAGCACTCTGGTTTGCCAGGCACGCGCGCAGCGGAAAGGGCCCGCTCGTTCAATGCTGTTCGCGTGTTCCTGGCCGGTCGACATCGCGGGCGAAAGGTGCCGATGCCGTTGCAAAGCTGACAGTGAGGACGCACGATGAACATGCAAGGGCCATAGGAGGCCACGCCAACACCTTTCGAGCAAGGCTCGCCCCGTGAAAATGCCAATGGTGGTCCGAAAGGGAAGGGTGCAAAAACAACCTTGGGAAACCGCTCATCCTTCACCTCGCAAAGACTCTAATTCCACCCAATAATGGGACACGACTTATGTTTCGCGGGCCCGTTGACGGATTGGGGCCGCAAGAGCAGAAAACCATGGTTCTTTCGCCAGCGGCCGCCGCCCAGGCCTCCGCTATAGTCGTCGACGCCGCCGGGGCGCGCCCCGACCAGAAGCCCGCAGGAAATGCGGTCGAGGCGATGGAGGCCATGAAGGACGCAGCAGTGGCATCGGTCTAACATTCCTCCTCTGAGCTGGGCGCGCCCAACTTCGTGCTGGTTTTGGGACCTTCGTCGTCGAATCTCGCGACTTTGGCGTCGGGCGTCCTGCCGGACATTGCCCCTCGCTCGTTCGCGGATCACACTTTGACCATCTGTCCTCTTCACTTGGCCACGGGCCGTCGGGCCCAGGCCGATCTCGACCCTCGGCCCTCCGCCCATCTCCCTGCTCGCGCTGGACAGGCCCGAGCAGCGGGGCTCGCTGCGATACGATTGCGCGACAAAAGCGACAGGGGGGCATGGGACAAAACCGACTTAGGCGATATGGCCAACACATTCGACCTAGCTGGGCGCAGACGTAAACTTATCCAGGCGGCGAAGGCCCCAACCCAATTGTTTGGGGCCGCGGAGCTCGCGAGAGCTGCGCGGAAATTCCCGCGCGGTGGGCGGGGGGTCGCATGCGAACCCGCACCAGGCGCGAAGCGCGTCGCGATGTGCCCCTGTGCGCTACATAAGCACCAACGAAATGCCGCGAGCTCAGCGCTGGAGGCGCGGCGAACGGAACCGCCTCAGCAGGCCTCTCGACCTGCGCGCGCGAGCTCAAGGATAAACGAGCCACGCGCGCAGGCGCCCACTCGGGGAATCGGCCTCCCGCGCACGGGGCGCCCTCCTCGCGGGATCTCGCTGGCCTCGCGCCACCTGCCCCTGCCGACCTTCCTGGTAATAGCTGAGCTAGCGCTCGCGCAAGACACCTCTCGTAGTCGTCGGGCTCGTCCTCGAGCGCGCCCTGGCAGTTGGCCCCCGGCAACTTTCGCCCGTGACCGCCCAGCTCGCCCCGATCCTCGCCAAGTGCCCCCATCACGTGGGCCCGCGCAGCGCGCGCCTGCTGCTGCCGCGCGGACAGGCCGCAACCATTGCCTGCGCTGGTCCGCCAGAACGGTCGCTCGTTGTCGGCCTCCCGCTGCTTCGCCCGCGGGTGGCGAATCCGCCCGTGGACGCGGATCATCGCTCCCCGATGCAGAATGAGTCTCAGCCCGCCGTCGGACTTCGAAATGGCGGCCTTTCCCGCGGAGAAGTCAGGCCACTCGCCGCTGACCTCGAAGCCGACGGCGTCGTCTTGATGACCCTGTCGCCCTGCAGCTGCAGCTTGCGCGGCCCGAGGGAGTCGACCGCGTTCCAGTGGCCCCCATAAAGCGGGCCGCTTCCAGCTGAACCATGCGGCCCGCAAAAATGGCCGCGAGGGGGCCGATGTTCCGGCGGGCGTCGACGTCAAGGGCATGCATCGCGATGACCAGCTCCTCTGATACATCCTCGGAAGCCCTTCCTTTCAGTCCGTGGCGTCGGGGCTTCCCGCCACGCAGCTTGCCTGTCGCGCTGGAGATCTTCGCCCTGCGCAGAGGGCCATATATCTGCGCGCCATCCCTCTGCGACGCGGGGCGTGCCCGGCTGACCTCCGGGAGCGATGGCGCGCCCTGGGCGCCTGACTGCGCTAGCTCGCGGGGTTCCTGGTCGAAGCCCCCTCTCGCGCATGTGGGCCCGCCGAACTTCTTGGCAACTGAGTGGCCCGAGTGCACAGCCGCGCGGAATTCCGAATGGGCCCTCGCTGGCACCGTTGCCGAAAACTGGCTCGATGCGCCGCCCGCCAGAGGATTGGCTCTGCAGGTGAATGTGGCCCGTCTTCTCTCGCTCCAGGAATCTGGCCGAACCCCCCATTCCGACGACGGTCCTGGATCACGGAGATCCGCGCCAAGGCTTCACCCCATTTGCGCCCGAGTGAAGCAAGCCGCGCGCGGCGTCAGCGCGGCAATCGTGCTCGAGCGGGCTTGCTGCGCGTCGCGGGCGCTGCCCTTCCACGTCCGTCTCCTGCGCTGGCGGGGCCCCTCGGCCCGAATTCCAAGGCTTGCTGCGCGTCGCCAGCACCGGCAGGCAAGGCGCGCATTCAGTCAGGCTCTCGACGAGGGCCGCCCTCGCCGTCATGCGAGGGTGCCGCGCGGGGGGGGGTCGGACCTTGCCGCCGAACGGCATTGATCCAGCTCCTCAACGCCCTGTGCTCGGCGTTTGTCGCAGCGGACGCCCGATTCTGCCGGCTGTTGACCGTGCCGACCTAAGCCAAGTACGGCACCCCCTGCGAGTGGGATCGCCGCGGCACCGCGCACTGGCGCAGGTCCCCAGCGCTGATCCGCGGCGAGGCCAATAGGCGCCCTGGCCCTTTTCGAAGCCCTCGCGCTGGATGCTCTCCGACACGCGGGGCTCGCACAGGCGGCTCCAGCAGTCGTGTTCCGTCGGGTTCCTCGCCGCCGGGCGGCCTCCTGCGCGACTCGGAAGCTTGGGCCCCTGATGGCCCGATTGAGCTCCTCATTGAGACGGGCGACGCCAGCCGGTGAAATCCCTGCGGCGTTGGTCACGGCGACGCGCCTAGGAAAGAGCTCGAGCCCGCCCTCGACGACGAATGTCGGAACCTGTGCGCGCGCGTCGCCAGCTGGAGTCAACCGCTGTGGCCGTGGGCCACCGGGCCCCTTGATGGCCGCAGGGCACGCCAACGCATTCCCCCCCCCGTTCGGCCGCTTTGTCGGCCGCCTCATCGCACGTGGTCTGCGAGAGCTGCGTCTCTTGAGCTGCTATCATATCGCCGTTGCACAACGCGCTGTGCTGCAGCAGCGCCTCGAACATGCTGCACTCGCACTGGCGTCGATGGTGGGGGCCAACAACCAACGGCGCCCCGCAACACTATGTTCGTCTGCTTGGGCCTGCGAGGATCGCCGTCTGCCTGGTTTTGAGTTGTTCGACATCGATGCCGCCCGCAATGGCGCCGTAGGGGTTTGGCGGCCTCTTGCATCGCGCGCGCCAGCTCCCTCTCCAACCTTGCGACCTCACACCGTGTCCGCGGCCGCGAGCCTTCTCCCCAGTGTTCGCACAGCGGTCCTTGGCGCCATGAAGGGAGCGAACTACCTGGTCCACCGCCTGAAGACCCTCGCGCCCAGCAGCACCCAGCATGCCAGGAGCAGCGGCAGAAGCGCGCCGAGCATTCCCCATCTTGGCCCAAGTTCTGTGGTAATCTAGGCGGTGCAATCAACGTTGTGCAACATAGAGCGGCGACAGGGCGGCGACGAGGCGGAAAACGACTTGTCCAAGAGGGCCAACGCAAGACGGCCTAAGAACCCTCCAAGAAAGTTTCACAATTACTCATGAAAGCGCCAAACACCCCGAGACGCCTCCAAAACGACCCTGAAGGAGACCCCCAAGACCACTCCAAAAGAGTGAACAGACAGCAGACCCGAGCGGACATCTCGACCCTCAGCCCCGAGAGGCTCTCAGAAAGCTCCCAGATGCTCCAGGGCGCCCCCAAGAGTCCCCAAGAAGCTTCCCAAAAAAACCAGGAAACTCCTTCGACCAGGGTCGGCGGCACTGGCCCTCAGGCCTCTCCAACAGGGCGGCGACAGAGCGGCGACGAGGCGGAAAACGACTTGTCCAAGAGGGCCGATGGCCAGTCAGATGAGGCAGCGCATAGGGCCATGGCAGCCGAGAGTTGCACAGGCCACCGCGAGGTCCTAGCCGAGATCATCGAGGCCGCCGACGCCATGCACGATGGGGTGGTCAGCGAGGTTGGCGATAGACTGCCACGACAGCCCAGACGACGGGCGGCGACGAGGTGGCGACGGGGTGGCGACGGCGACCACGGAGCCACCAGACCGCCAGACACGCCCAGACGACCGGCGGCGACGAGGTGGCGACGGGGCGGCGACGGCGACCACAGAGCCGCCGTCCTGGATCGCCAGACAGGCCCACTTCCTCATGACAAACAAGTAAGAAGCCCTAACAACAATCACTATTGGGGGATTATTGCCACCGTCACCGACATCGTTCACTGGTGGCAGCAACCGTCGATACTGGTGTTTGTGTCAACCTCTGGGCCTCCGACAACTGTTCCTTCTTCCAACGTCTTGACTGCACCCCTCCTCGGCCCCGGGACCTGTCCCGGGGGCGCATCCCAACACTCCGCGGCGAGTCTGGACACGGCGATCGGACCCAATAAGAGAGGCTCATTAAAAGCCAAAAACGTAATACACATTTCCCAGCCCTTCTCTTTCCCAAAGCGTCGCCATCCGCGCTCCTCCCCGCCGTCCCCCCCCCATCCTAGAGCACCCCCTGACGGATGCGAGGCGGAATTCGTATCTTGATCACCGCCTGTGACTTCCTCTTTGCCTCGGCGGGCGGTGATATGTGCTCCCCCTGGGCCCGAATCTGTCCATGCCCACCTCCTGCGGAGGTCCCCGAAGATCGATGCCCCAAGCGCTGGGATAACTATCTTATGGATAAATCGCCGCCTCGGACTTGATCGTGAATGGCGTTCCTCCTGCTCCCTGGGAGACGAACGGGTACCGATACCGCTATACTCCCCAGACCTCTCTTGGAGTGCGTTCTGACAGTAATTTCAAAAATTCAGCCGTGAAAACGAAAGCATCCAAGGAGGCCCAGGGCCAAATGTGGAACGAGTAGAGGTATATAGTAGTTGTACCTTTTCCTCCTCTGAATCCCTGCTCCTCCTGCTCCTTCTCTATCCACTTCTCCCCATCGGGAGACATTCAAAATCAACTGACAAACCTCCGAAGCTCGTTCCTCCTCCCTTCCCCCTGGAAGCACATTCTCTACAGGCCGACTGACAATTTTCAATGTTTTTCGCACTGCCGTTTCTAGCGTTTCGCGCAGCCCGCCGCCTTCTCGTCTCTGTGCGCTGGGCCGCTGGGACTCAGGGCTGGGACTTTCTTCGCTGGGGATGGTGTCGGCAGCAACGAGAGCATTCAGCAAGACGGCGCGCAGACCGCTGCAACTCCGAATCCGACCGGCCCCTGGAAGTCCCCCGAGATCTCCGGAAAGCCTCTGGTGGTCGCCAGAGGTTCAGGGAGGCCCCCGGAGACAGCACGATCAATTATCCGTGGCGGCGCGCACCAGGGGGTGGCGCGAGGGGATGGCCTTCGAAGGCGCCTGGAGGGTTCCCGTGAAGGCAGTGGCCTTCTCCAGACGAAGAAACAAAAAGATGAACGTAAACTTTTGGCGCTCCGCGCGGATTTCTTGGATCCGCGCTGGACCCTCTCCCTCGCGCGCCGAGCGCGCCACCGGCGGCGCTGGAGGCGCCGCCCTGAGGCCCAGCGCGGGTCCGAGAAATCCGCGCGGAGCGCCAAAAGTTTATGTTTATGCTGTTTGTTCTTCTTCGCAAGAAGGCAGGGGGCCTTCTCAGCAGGGCCCCGGAGTGCTTCTGAGACGGCTTCTAGAAGAAGCCCAAAGGCTCGAAAAAGAACACCCCGTACCTTCTCAGGAGCCCTCGGGGGCTTCTGAAGGACCCTCGCGCCACCCGCCTGTACTGAAGACGCCCAGGGGCACACGAGTAAACACACACAACAAGCAAATCCCAGGATTCCTGGTATGTTACTATAGTTTCTGAGTCTTCTTCCCCCCCACTTCCCTCCATAGTTTCACATATTTTCCGGGGAATCGACGATCATTTGTGTTTGCGTGTGCTTTTTTCCCATGCTGGCATGCGCGCCGCAGATGCGCGAAGAACAACAACTGCATCAACGTAACTGTTTGGGCTCCGCGCGAATTGCTTGGATCTGCGCTGGGCCCCCCCTCTCTGGCGCGCGGACCGCGACATAGGCGGCACCAGAGGCGCCACCAGGGGGGCCGAAACGCCTATCAAAGGAATCCGCGCGGACCGCCCAAAGTTTCTGTTTATGCAGATTTCCCTTCTTCGACCCAACCTCCCCTCGAGCGCCCGATGATCATGAAAGGCGTGAACTCGCCCGCGAAGTTGTAGTCGACGAGCTCGTCCGGCTCCGCAATTACCAGCGCCGGCGCGGCCGCCGCCGCGGCCGCGGCGCCGGCGCGCAGAAGCGCCTGCCGCCGCACAGCCAGAGGGGTGAGGAGAAGGAGGGAGGGAGGGTTGAGGGTGGGAGGGGGATGACCATCACGAGGGTGAGGTTCATGTCGGAACTGATGTTGAGGCTGATGATGATTATGATGAAGACGTTGAGCTGTCACGACTGAAGAATAATTATTGTTGCTCCCCCCCTCCGGTGACCATTGTGTTTCTTTCATTGAAGTGCTACCTCTGGGGCTCGCAGCCCGATATTTATCAGGGACAATCACTAGGCTCAAACTGTGTTGTTGGCCCCCGCGTTACTACAACAACGGCTCCCGCTTGGGACCTCCCTACAATGGATTTAGGAATCGCTCTCGCCGCGCTCTGGAGTCGCGCTCTCGATGGAGACTCGCTTGCGACATACTCAAAAATCGCGATCTTGCGATGGAGTTCGCCGCAATTTACTGAAGCGTCGCGCTCCCGACACTCAAACACCCAGGAATCGCGCTCAAGCTTTGCACTCCCTCGCTGCCCAGCAATCGGGATCTCGCTGCCCTTCGTGGCCCCTTTGCAACCCTTCGTGGACCCCTTGCTGCCCTTCGCGGCCCTGTTGCAGCCCTTCGTGTCCCCCTCGCTGCCCTTCGTGGCCCTGTTGCAACTTTCGTGGCCCCCTCGCTGCCCTTCGTGGCCTCGTTACAGCCCTTCGTGGCCCCTTCGCCGCCCTTCGTGGCCCCGTTGCAGCCCTTCGTGGCCCCCTCGCTGCCCTTCGTGGTCCCGTTGCAGCCCTTCGTGGCCCCCTCGCTGCCCTTCGTGTCCCCGTTTGGCCCCCTCGCTGCCCTTCGCGGCCCCATTGCAGCCCTTCGTGGCCCCCTCGCTGCCCTTCGTGGCCCCGTCTGGCCCCCTCGCTGCCCTTCGCGGCCCCATTGCAGCCCTTCGTGGCCCCCTCGCTGCCCTTCGTGGCCCCATTGCAGCATTTCGTGGCCCCCTCGCGGCCCTTCGCGGCCCCATTGCAGCCCTTCGTGGCCCCCTCGCTGCCCTTGTGGCCCCATTGCAGCATTTCGTGATCCCCTCGCGGCCCTTCGCGGCCCCATTGCAGCCCTTCGTGGTCCCCTCGTTGCCCGTCGCGGCCCCATATAGGTGCTCTTGTGGTCCCAGCTCGTTCGCGCCCGTCGTGGTCCCCTATGCGCGCGCTTCATGGCTCCTCGGTCGCCCTTCGTGGCCCCCTTGCTGCCCTTCGCGGACCCATTGCAGCCCTTCGTTGCCCCCTCGCTGCCCTTCGTGGCCCCATACATGTATGCTTTTGTGGCCCCAGCTCCTTCGCGCCCGTCGTAGTCCCTTATGCGCACACTTCATGTCTCCGCGGTCGCCCCTCGTGGCCTCCTCGCTGCCCTTCGGGGCCCCGTCGCTGTCCTCAGTGGCCCCGTCCTTGCGCTTCGCGGGTCAATATGCGCATGCCCTTCGAGGCCCCCGCTCGTTCGCGCCCATAGTGGCCCACGCTGCCCTACGTGGCGCCACCGCTGCCCTTGAATGGCCCCTTCGTTGCCCTTTGTGGCCCCGCATTATCTGTCCTTCGTGGCCCCCGCTCGTTCGCGCCCTTCGTGGCCCCATAGTTACGCATGCCCTTCGTGGTCCCGCTGTCGCCCTTCGTGGCCCCCCCTCTTGCCCTTCGCGGCCCCACTGTCGTTTTCGCTCTCGCTCTCGTCTCGCTTTCGCTTTCGCTCATCGTCGTCGTCGTCGCCTCCATCGTCGTCGCCGTCGTCGTCATCGTCGTGGTAAGTCCCCTGTCCGTCTCTGGTGGGGTCCGGTTGCCGCCGATCAACGCTGCCGCTGGCCGGGCCGACGGTCCACGGCCGCCCCGCAGTTCGCCGGGGCCCGGCCTGCAGCGAAGATAAATATACCCCTCAGAGAGGGGCACGATCGAAGACGAAGAGGGGGGGTATCGGTTGGGGAGGTTCAGTTCGGGCTCAAACGTGAAGCCTGGGGTTTGGAGGGATTGCCGGCCGCGACCCCTTGAAAGGGCCTTCTGGGGATTCTGGGCCTGGATGGGTCTGTGACAGCACCAACTGGCAACCACAGAAACAAGCCATGCAAACCTGACGCGATACACCGCCCCGCGCCCCCAAAAAAAATTCAAAGCAGCAAAAAATACCCAATCGATCGGGAATCAAACCAAAAAAAAAAAAACGATGGGCGACCACAATCAACACTCACAAAAAAATCATGAGATCGATCACTGACCGCCTATCGAACAAAACAAAAATAAAAAAAAACATAAATGATACTGTTCACTTCGCCCCGACCAGAAAAACGAAAATGAACAAAATGACTGTGATAATTGTCACCTCCTTCCGCCCAGAAAAACGAAAATGAAAAAAAACAACGGTGATAATGACCACCTCGTTCCGACCAGAAAAACGAAAATACAAAAACCACCAGTGATAATGGTCACATTGTTTCAGCCAGAAGGGCGAAACTGAAACAAAACAGCAGTACACGTGAAACACATTTTCAAACAAGAATGATCTCACTCACCCCACCACCCAACCCCCAGGAAAAAACACAAAAAACGATGGACAGCTCGCTCGGACAATTCAAAGAAAATTGAAAACATGAAACCCAAATAATGGGTGACCAGACGAAAATGAGACAAGTAAATGTGAAAAAGCTCTCGCCGCCCTCAGAAGAACAACCAACAAACAAATCAAGTATTATGTTATCAAACACATACATAACAAGAAACCTGTGAACGCACTTCTCTGCCCCCCATCAAAACATACACACACACACGCACACACACACACACGCACACACACACACACACACGCACACCGAAAACAAGATGGGCCAACGCGAGAAACAATACACAACATCAAGATAATACCACCTACCGCAGTCGCACACCACGTGACAAAAGCGAATCAGAGTGATTCGCCCACCCGCCCACCAACGGCCCCCCCTACACAAAACCAACAAACAAATAGTGATGTCCAGACGCAGCATCGAGCTACACAGTGACGACGCCCCCCCTCTCCCCTCCGCCCCTACAACACTTCCAGAACATGACAAATAATTGAGTACGATAACGCTAACCGTCACGCCTGAAAAAAATGAGAACACCCCCCGCCCTCACACCCCACCCCCACAACAGCTCACAAATGCCAAGCGTGAGAACGTCCACGCCAACCATTCCCCAACGAACAAAGCATATCAGAGGGTGAGGATGTCCACCACAACCACCAACCTCACACATCAAAAAAAAACAGCACCATGAAGAATGCTGATGGCCCCCCCTCACCTGACCGCCAACAAAAAACAACACAACCATCCAAAGAGTGGTGATGCCCCCCCCCTGGAAATGCGAAGGGGAGGGGGGGGAGCGGGGAGCGTAAATAGTGCACTTGTCCTCTCACCCCGGAAGGCCCCCCACCCACTCCTTACCACTCAAGCAACAACGACATGACAACACCACCAACAAAAAACAATGGACTTCCTCTTCCTCCCACTCCTCACACGATGCGCCAGCACATCGATCGAACAGACCGTGCTAAAACGCACGCGATCGCTCCATAATATGGCGAGTGTACCTCCTCACTCCTCCTCCTCCTCGTCGCCCCCCTGCTCCTCCCATTCAGACCCCTCGCAGTGCGCATCTCTTCGCCGCGCCTCGCCGCACCTTCGTGGCCTTTTGGCTAAGGGTCGCGCCATAGCGCGCTGCGGCGCGCGGGCATGGACGCCGCAGCCCGCCTGCGGGCAGCGCTGGCGCCCTGGCAGCAGGTCGGCCCGGCTTCCTCCGCGCCCGTTCTCTGCGAGGCGGGGTGCCGTGCCGTCCTGGCGAGCTTTGGGGCCAGATGGGGCCGGTTGTTGCCTCAGTCTACGGTCACGGCAACAACTCCCTTCCGCCATCCTTCCCTCCCTCTCTGCTTACCCGTCCTTCCCCCTCACGGCCCTCAGTGCACCGGGAGAGGGCTTCACGGTGTTAGGCAATGTGGCTTGCCAATCTCTAAGGTTTGCTGACGTGCTCCAGGGATATCGTGCCCCCCGCCCTGGGTTCTATCACGTGGAGGGGGTGTACGAGGTCGTGCGACGGCTTGGGCACCGCGTCGAGGCGCGCGGCGCTGATGTGTGTACCCGACATCCCTTCTCCAGTTCCTCTTCTGGCTCCAGCTCCTGCTCCTCCCTCCTGCTTCTCCTCCTCCTCCTTCTCCTCCTCCGCCTCAGGCACCTCCAGCACCTCCAGCACCTCAGGCACCAGCCATCATCGTCGATTCTGGCAGCGAGGGAGAGGAGCAAGAAGAGGGCGGCGTTGGCGGCGAGGTCGTGGCCAGCCAACCCGTGGGCCCCGTCGGCGGTGCCCAGATTGTCGCCCTCGGGGCCCTCGAGACTAGGCTGTCCAGGCTGTCTAGGGACGAGTTGCTTCAGCTAGCAGTTCAACAGCAGCTTCAGCTTGACAGGCATTGAGATGCTCGTTCTGGGGACCTTCCTCCATCGTCGACCCTTCGTCGACTCGAGTCGAGAAGTGAGTCGAACTAAAAAAACTAAGCTCGAACTATGGTCGAACTCGATTCGAACATAACCGTTAGGTGGACCCCAGGCAGGTCACCAAAACGAACATCTAATTATCGTGTGGAATGTCGTGAGCTCAAGGGGAAAGTCAAACAGCTCGGGCAACAATTGCGTAGGCAGGGCAAGGCGAACCTACAGCGTGCTCGGAGGGCGAACAAGTTGGCCGTCATCAAGCCCTCCAAGCTGTGGCTTGACATTCGGCGCCGCAAGGCTAGCAGCGACCTCTCCTGGCTGTCGGTGCCGAGCTTACTGGCTACAGGTATCAGGCGCAACCTTGGAAATTGCAGCAGTCGTGGCTTCGGTTTAGCCTCTGGCTGTGCGGTTTCGAAGCAGGCCGTTTCGGGTAGCAACTACGTGGGGGGAGGTGGTGACCATTTATTCCAACCTCGCCCGCGGGGGAAACTGCGACGGTGGCCAGCGAGCCCCGCATCCAGGGCTTCCAGGCTTGATCGGGAAAACGGCGAGGTCGTTC